AGTGATAGAGCGGCGGCTAGAAAAGATTTTCCTTTGAAAGTTACAGAAGGGAAGCAAAACAAAATTCGCCCCGCTTGAGGAAGTGAGCCCTTGTTGGAAGTTCCTAGAATTATCTAAGATAAAAGCGGATCCTGATATCTTCCTTTTTCACAGATATCGACGAATGCACCGCTTCTCCATCTTTGTGTGATACCAACGTCGTTTGTCATAAGACCCCAGGCTCTTATTGATCGTTGTGCCTGCAAAACCTGATTTTTCGGAAATGGAGAACAATTGTGGACGTAAGAATATTTGGATTGTGAGGGAGGGCACATCTGTCTCGAAAAACAGACAAACAGGCAGATAGATAGAAGTAATAATTGCTTGACTGACTGACTTGCCAACTGATTAACTTGTTATTTTTTTTGCATTTTATTGTTAATTGACGTTCTTCATTGGTTTTGTCACTCAGTAGTAGATCTAATTTCTTTTTACTTCTTTTGTTAGATTTGGAGCCCATGGAAGAAGAGGACCCTTCGGCAAAATACAGACATTTGTTGTTCCACGGACCATCCGCTATCTCATCATAGCCTGGGGAGCTCGGGGGGGGAACACATTTATACAATTGTGAATACCTTCCAGGAACATATTGTGGTGGAAAAGGAGCATTCAAAGGAGGGAAGTTCGCACTGAATAACGGAACTGTGCTAAATAACGTGTTGGAACAAAGAAGAGGAGATTCGATGGATGTTGAAGGCGGACAAAGCACAAGCCAGCCTGCAGCTCAGCTTGGAAAATCTGTGGAGGACAATGCTGGCACTGGAGGAGGGGGAGGAAGTTTGGTTTATACTACAGATCATGTTATAATGGTGTGGACGGTTAGATGGGATCAAGTGACACCAGTAGTGAGGGGAAAGATTCGTCACAAGTTCGAAATGGAGGTACAGATGGGCAGCTAGGTGAATGCAATAGTGAGGGCGCTAGTTATCATGGAAGAGTGGTTGCGGGTTAGTTTGATCAAGGTTGTTCCCAACTATGCTCCTCCTATGCGGAAAGAGGTGGATCACGTGCTCAGGGCTGGATCGGAGGTCACGCCGGAGATATGGATAGCGGTAATAACGGAGGCCCTACACCAGGAGCGGTTGATGGGTTTGGTGGTGGGGGAGGTGGTTCAGAAGATAATGGGGCATCAGGTGGAGGTGGTGGATACTCTGGGGGAGGCAGTGGTACTCATAATCACCAAGTCGGAGGTGGAGGAGGAGGCTCGTATTGCAGTGGGGAAGGCTGTTCAGGTTTATCTGGTGGGAACATATGTGATGACGGCGCTGTGCAAATTAATGAATGGTTGGGCTGAGTTCAAAATATTAATTGACTTTCATATTCGGTTTTCTTTCACACATTCTTTGTATAGCAGTAGTCATAGTAATAATTGGGGCAGTTGATCTAGCTTCCAGTCTAGGTCTTGTTTTCATTTTGATTCAGACTTCAAACCTAATCACCTCAGAGAAGCGAAACATCAAAATCACTTCCAAATTTAACAGCTTTGGGCCCCTCAGAAAGCTTTCCAAAGAACTGTTTGAATGTCTGATTTATACCAATTATATATATATCTTTGGAGATTTCTAGTTAAAGTTTAAATCGATTAATCTTGCAGAGTGATACATGTTGTTTTCTAAAACAAACGGTAACTTATTTCACCGTATTTGCGTGTCCTTCTTATCTACGCATTATCTATATAATGACGAGAATGCCAAATTTTATTCGCTAATTTTGAACTTCTCCTCGTTGTGTTTGGTTTGTAACCTAATTCAAAGAAAATTATCGACCGTCTACGTATTGAGTCATTCAAGCGTTTTCACTAATAAAGTTTATGTAACGATTCACGACAACTCAGGATCTCTTTTCCTTCCAGATGTTAGCAAAGCTCTAAGCCCTATATGTAGAAGGTAAACAAAAGAAGTTTGAACGGTCAAAAGGATGTCTTGGTTGATTTTCAGAATTATGCAAATGACCTCTGACAGTAGCGCAAGGGAGGAAACACATTGACTTGCGTTGTTTTTAGGATGTTGGTAGATGAAAGCAAGAGAGATAATCGCCGGCTTGAGGCTATCACTGACCTAATTGGTGTCTAAATTTTCCACTGATATGCTTTTTTAGCCCGATTTAGCCCAACATTTTGAGAATTATTTCTTATACATCGGTGAATTTTTGGTATGCAAATTATGTTCGAACAGATGGGTCTCCTCTGATCACGCTGGTATGAATAATATTTCATGTGAAATTTCCATATTTCATATGTACTCTGAGAGAATAAATCTTGTATATTGTAGCTAGAGAAAATTCCGTGAGCTATATTATTGTAGTCGCAGCGCGCTCGACTGCTGTCCACACGGACTATGTAGCTAAAAAATAAAGGAAAACTTTTTTCCCACAGGATGTCGAGAGGACCGCTCTTAGCGAGAGCGGCACATAACAACGAAGTTTGCCTCAGTGAAGCTATGTTTTCTTAAAATGTGCTCTAAAATCTCCAAGGAAATTTGGTCAGAATACCACAGAGTTAGCAAGGGAAATATTTAAAAAAAGTTTTGTGGGCTTTTTTTGTGTGCTTGCATTTTTACAGAGTATAAGTAATATTTTATTTTCTTTTGATGCTGCCTGTCTACAAGAAAGGTCCCTTAGAATAGCGAGTGAAAGATAGAAATAACTGCCTGAGGACAAAACTAACAAAATTATCTAGCATCTCTGTGAGGAGCTGTTAGACATCTCTCATAGATCCACATGTGATTGGCTAATATGTTTCTAGAAAGTCTAGCATCAAATTGGTGGTACATCACAATCAACAAACGTCTGTTAAGCTTCTCTATTTGCTCAACAGTTACAAAACATCGAAATACTTTCTTTTGAGCTTGCTCTAAAGGACATGGGAGTTTGTCTCCATTTGTTCTTCATCTCTGTGGCTCTCCCCCTCGGACAAGTTCTATCTTGCACAGATGGTAGGTTTTAAATCTTGCATTTGTTAATACGAAACTTCTATTTTTCTCCTCTAAAATTTTCAGCTATCTAGTATAGTAATTTACAAAGGGAAACACGAATTCTTAAGGACTGAAATACTTGAATTCTCGTATATACATGCAGAGGCCGAACTAACAAAATGGCTACAAAATTCATAGTCCAGTTCAATGCGTTGTTGTCTTTTATTCACTCAAAAATATTCTCGATTCTTTTTCACTTTGTTCGAACATATGTTTGCATAGTTTTTTTAGTTATGACCGAACAGTCTTCGCTATTTCTTAACTAATTATATTTTTCGCTGCTTATGGTCTTGAATTCTCTCGAAACTCTCATACAAAAATAAACTAAAATTGAAATTAATGAAAAGATTTTCGAAAAAAAAGATTTTATGGTTATGAAAAGCCGTACACTCAAGGAAAGACAAATTGATGTCTTAACTGGTTGGAAAGGAAATGTTTTTCATCCCCCTATATTTACATTCTCTTGTGGAATAAAAATATTCCTTTGAGAACATAATCGTTCGCCGGTGTCATACTTTTTTGACATAATTTTTTTATTCAAGACAACTTTTATAGAAAAATTTTCCACCTTGAAAATATAATGCAGGCAGGTGTTAAACATAGACCAAGACGTTTTTCTTGTAACTTTTAGAACTCGGAATTCGATGCATATTTTCCTCGTTATAACACTCCTGCGGTGTTTTGTATTGTGTGATATCTGAAGCCTGATGAGTAAGTTTTTCATAGCCAATAAAAACAGAAAGAAAATTGTCTAAATGCAGGGAAAGCAGATAAGTTTTCATAATGCAAACGGAGTACTGACGGCGAATAAGCGGGTGCAGTAAAACTTCTCACTTGACAGGTGGCTAACATATAGAGGTTATGGATGTGTAACCATTCCTATAGTGATATCAATTAACAACTCTTGATTAGGACATTTTCATAATATAATTAAAATCGATGCACAATGAAGCGAAGGAAAGATCTTAAACTTCAATAGCGGTTTAGTAGGTTTTTTTTTAATATCTGTTCAAAATGTACATATTTTATTTAACACAAGTTTAATTGATATGGATGATGGAGAAACAAAACAGGACAAAACAAAATAAAGATCGCAAGGTCAAATTAAGCATGATTTTGCTCAGCGTGTGCATATCGAGAAATAGATGTACGAATGAACTAAACTTCCTGTGTGGATCCATATCATATTTACTCGCTAAGAGCACAAAAAATTTTTTTATAACATAGTGGATATAACTTGTGTACGAAGATAAATTTCTAGTAAAATTGAACCGGGTTTACCTGGTAATCACTTTCTACCCGAAAACTATCAATAAAGGGCAAGGCAAAACGATCAATAAATATTTAGAGACCAAAGCTTAATTCAAAGAAGTGCTTAGTTTGCTGCGACGCATTCGAAACGGAAAACGAACGAATTGCCTGCATTTACGAGACCCACGTAATCGTTCACTATTCTGGAATCGTTTAGTTGAATTCAAGGCCAGAATGTGAGGCTTCGTGTCAAAAAATTGAAAAACATCTGAAAACTGTAGGATTTTGAAACCAAATCTTCAATTCAACAACACTTTTGGGACTTATCAACTCAAGTAATACTTACCGTTCCAAAGAAGAGTTTTCAAAGTCGCAAAGCCTCACTTCAAGTCAAAAAGCTTAGTTTCCTTCTTCAAAGCTATAACTCGTAAAGCGCCAGTTTGTTGACTTCAACGGTATTTTTGTGGATTGACAGAGCTCAAATTGGCTCATTAGGAGTTTGGAAAGATTTGCAAACGCGCGCTTTGTTATAATGTACAAAAGTCAGTTGGAAGTTCATGATTCAGGGCTTGAAAAAAACATGCGATACTACTGTTAATTCAACTTGATCCCTGTTAACTCAGTGAATATGTCATAATTATCGATATACGTACCAAGTGCATCGAACAGCGAGATTAACAACATGTGAGACCCTCAGAATTGATGGCCCATTTCGCTCTTTAACACTTAATGATTTAATTTTTAGATCAATGCCGTATACTGGCATTTCCATCCACTTTGTTCTTCGTTGGAGAACGTCTTGTTAAGCATACCATAGCAAACATCAGTGTGATTGACAGGGACACGTGTGAATATCGTTGCTACTTGGACTACAACTGCGTCAGTGTTAACTTTTATTTTGGAGAAAAAGGAGCAAAAGCACACAACTGTGAACTGAATAACTCAACGGGTAACGAGTATGAAAAGAATCTTGTAAAAGCGGCGGACTATGTATACCACGGAACTAAGGTAAATGTCAATTGCGCAACTCTCTCTTTTTTTTTTAATTCATCAGAGCTAAAGGGGTTCCCTTTATATTCATGTCTGTAAAACGCCTCTTATCCATTATTAGTTATTTTTACATAAATTTTCGACAAATGCTGATGTCGCTACGAATCTTTTGTAGATAAGCACTAACAAAAAACAAAAGTCCTTTGAGTGCCTTGAGGACACTCATCTCTATTAACGAAAGCAAGTAATTTTTCTTAGTCACTTCAGAACGTTGGTCACCGGCCTAGAATAAACAACTGATCCCTGTTTTTCTTGCAATAAAGAACACCACTACGAAACACTCACGTTCATTCATCTTAAATATTTTTCATGGGCAAGAATAAATGGAATGGCCTCTCGAATGCATTTCTGCAAAAGGTAGTTGAATTCAATTGGTTTTCAAGCATGAATATACTAGGTTAAATAATCGGATTAATGAGATACATCTCATGGCTGAAGAGTACATACGACTATGGATATAACGACACAGTTGAGCTATGAACGGGGTTACCGAGTGCTGCTTTTAAGAAAGACAATTTTCTCTATAATAGCTTATTATAGAGTAAATTGTCTACAGACGCCCCTTCCTGATTTTTCAGAGTGATGGGAGTGATCTTAAACAGAATTTTGGAATTTCTTTCTCCGGCAAGTTTTGGTCAGGTTCTCGGCGAAATGTCGAGAACAACTATCAAGATTTTAAACAGTTACTTGCGACATGCCGTCCAGGGGAGTGGCAATTCTTCTTGTTGCCTCATGCTGCAAATGTGGTATATTTAACTTTCGAAATTATACAATATGTCTAAAGCAGAATTTTTCTTTTAACGCTCGTGACAAGTTCTTCTCCGTTTCTATTTTTTGTTTGTTTGTTTTTTTGTTTTTGTTGAAGAATTTCTGCGCTCAATCTCCATGCGAGAACTACGGCACCTGCCAGTCGGGATTTACAAGAAAACGATATCGATGTCTATGTGCGTCTGGATTTACTGGCCACGATTGTCAAAAAGGTAACACTTAAAATAATAAAAATGAATTGTTTTCTTAATTTTTATTTTAACACAGTGTAAAAATGCACCTTTTACAATCATAATGTGCTCCGATTATAACACCTAAGTTGGTTTTGCTTTTTGTTTGAGATGAATAGCAAAGAACTCAAACCACCCCCTTAAGTGTTGAATTCCTTTTTCATTTCAAACACCATCCCGCCTCTTTCGAGTTGCAGTCTCACGCCAGGCTGTCATAGGCATTCAGCACCGTAAAAAGTGGGGCGAAGAAGATTTTTCTCCGTAATCCCGCATTTTATTGCTCACTCGCTTTTTCAATCGCCACTGCTGACAAATAGCATAACACAGCATATCTCCCCCTTCCCCTCCTTCCCTCAACTTCTGTTCTTCAGCGTCTTTACCAGAGGTCTATCAATTATATTTTAGACATCAACGAGTGTGAAACAAATACCCACATCTGCAGCAATGAAAACGTCATTTGCTTAAATACCAAAGGATCATTCAAGTGCATTTGTAAACATGGATTCAGCGGGGATATACACAATTGCATAGGTAATGAAAATTGCTTAGAGCGGGATTGCTCGTCCGAATTAACCTCTGGTAAAAACACATGTTTTTCAATCCTATTCATAATCTACTCCGATTATAACATATAAGTTGGTTTTGCTTTGCACATTAGCTTGGTAGTGGTGATGACGATCATAGATAAAATTCGTTGATTTTATTTCAGACATTGATGAGTGTGCTCTGAATTCCCACAAGTGTAGCGAGAATGCCAATTGTACAAATACCGCGGGATCTTACGCCTGCTCTTGTAATTCTGGATTCAGCGGAGATGGACATGAATGCATAGGTATAGCGCGGCAGAGCATGACCTTTCTAGGCTAATAAAATTCCGTGTGTATTCCTCTCTCCTTAACTGGGTACGCCCCTTAAGGATATAGACAATAACGGCTCTGTCCTATGTGGTCAGAAATAGTTTGAGCCACCCTTCATGTGGAGTGGCGTTAAGTTTTTTTTTCCTTAAGAGCACCCTGTGGTTTTCAGATTGGAAGCCCAGTATTCATAGCCTTTTCATTGTTATATTTTATCACTATAATTGATACGGACGGCTTATTAAATTTTCGGACATTGACGAGTGTGCTCGAAATAGCCACCTCTGCAGCAATATAACTGTCACTTGTAAAAAAAAAATACCAGGGGATCGTTCA